GCAACAAACAAATCAATGTAACTTTCTCATTGAAGTGCCTTGTATTTATAACACCACTTTTCACCTGGGGAAAAAATTATTCATTTGCCTGTGAATCAATACACCAGTTTTTGGGGATATCATGCTGCTACTCACTCCTCCTCTCAAATTCATCCCCAAGATGCTATGTTCTACCACAAGCAGTGTGCTGGAATGCAAGAGCTTTTGAAGAGTGGCAAGACTCTGCAAAAAAAGTTACAAAGCAAAGAAAGCACAAGCATTGAAATGTAAGGTTAATGAATGTAGCTAACCTATTTGTAATATGGGTGGTCCTAATGTATTTCTGAGAAGTGCTGTATGAAAAGGAAGGGAGGTAGATTTTGTTTTGTTTTAGATGAGAAGTGATCCATTAGAAAACTTCTTAATCAAGATGCAATTTACACTATTAAAACCAGCACAGAACTGTTCTGCTCTGTGCTGGCTATTCTGATTTTGGCCGGTAATGCAGATTAGTTTTTTTTAATTATCCACCCTACCCCCTGCCAAAAAAAAAAAAAAAATAAAAAAAAAAAAATTGAAGCGTGACACTTGTATGTTGGTGTGTGATGAGAAAAAATTTGAAGTGAATTAGAGTAAGTTTCCATGAAGTCTTTATGGCAATTTTGGGATGCTTCCCCTGAAATACTTTAATACAAGGAATACAGTGCTTATACTGCATTATTTTCCACACTAAACAAAAAACAAAAAAAAAAATCAGAATTTTATGTCTGCTATTTCTTTACAATTAAAGTTGATTACACCTCGCTTAGGAAAGTCACAGTTTTATACAAGAGAAACTTAATAGAATCAGCCTTCTAATAAGATTTGGTCAAATGTTTTTAATGACAGTTATTGATCTCTCTTGTCAGTGTTGCCTGCTATCCCTTCTTGGCAGACATGCACTATAGGAAAGGTGGCTTATCTGCAGATACGTGTCCTGGGGAAGTCAGGATGTGTTGCTTAATGGATTAATTTTGCTTGAGGAAAAGCTTTCAGAGGACTGTGTCATAGCTGATGCAGCTTTGAACAAAATCCTTATCTTGGAAACAGTCATATCACTGGAGTCTGTTCCCATCTGCCAAATCTCAGGGGAGGGGGAGAGATTGTAAAGCATAAATTTTTGAAATGTAATCTTTACCATGTCACTTTGCCTAGAGGAATGCATCTAGGATAATCAGCCTGATGCCAGTGCATCAGCCTGTACTCCAGTTGAGTTTTCTCATTATCTTGAATTTTTTGTACATTATCTTTTGTTCAAACTAGGATGTGACTGACTGGATCTCTATTTGAGATCTCTGCTTGCTTTCAGTCAATTCTGTGGTTAAAAGGGTAGTGAAAGCAACATACTTATTCATTATATCTAACAGATATGTGTAATAAGTGTTTCTGATAAGTACTTCCTAAGTGGAACAAGGCATATGAAGAAGCAGGAAAATGAACAGTTAACTGTGACTGTCTTTCAGTAGATTTAACTAAGTAGCTGCAGGAGTGTCTTTTTTCAAGCTTAATGTTATCTCAATCAGAAGTGGTAGAGTCTGCATAAGGGGGAAAAAACCCCAACAAAACCAAGCCTGGCCATGTGGCAGATCCTACATAGCCAGACAAGATTCTGCAGACACTTTTGTAGTTATCCATCCTGTCCTTAAAGCACAGTATTTTTTTCATTGTGATTTTAATACCTTAATTTCAGATTTTTTTTTTCTTATTTTGTACAGTGAAAATAACCCAAGATTCTAGAATTAAAGAAGGTTCTTTGGCATTAAAATATATCTTCAGAGCTGTCCTATAAGTAAAACCAAACATATTCAGGCCTTTTCTTTCCTGCATCTATTACCTTCTGTTGCAGCAGATTATTATTTTTTTTTCTATTACAGTTTTGCTGTTTCTTTTCCTGATAAAAAGGCCTTTTTGCACTGTCTGAGGGAGAACATGTGTTGTTGGCAAAACTCTTATAAGGAATGCATTGAAAATGGTATCAAAAGCACAGAACAAGCTAATCATCTCTCAGACACAATATTGATTGCTTTCACTTGTAGCAGGCATAAGCTTTGAAATGTCAGTATGACTTTTTTTTTTGGTTGATGTTTCTTTATTCTACTACTATTTTATAGTAAAGCATATATTATGAACTTGTCTTTCAAGTTCAGTTGTCTTTCAGGCATTACTTTTTTTCTGAACTAAATATATAATACACCTGTTAAGCATGACCTATTGGAACTATTGAACTGAAAATGTTTCAAATGTATGACACAATGGAATACATCACATTGTGTTTTAAACTTCCATTTGCACAGCAATAAAATGAGAATGGTAGGGGGGATAGAATAGTAGGTGTCAGCTCTGTAGTAGAGATGATGTATGCTATGCATAGTGTTAAATGGCTGTTAGTTCTGTTACTGAAAATCTAGTTGTCTTTTATATCCAAGTGTATTAAAGCTGTGTCTTTTGGGAATGTTAAAGAAATCAGAATGTGAACCTTCAGAAAGGATATAAAAGGAGTAGTAGCCTTAGAGATCAACTGAGGACGAGCTTTTCTGTATGTAGAAAGTCAGATAGGATAAAGCTGGAAAAGAGGTGAAGAGATGCAAATAAATGGTGTGTCAGACAGCTGAATCACTGGTGGCAAGCAATGACAGGTGGAGATAAAGTCAGAAAGGAAGAGAAAGTATTGAGGAGGTTCTTGAAAGCAATTCTGAGATCTGTATTATGATATACCATATCACAATATTAACATTTAAACTTGATACAATATTGTTTTTTCTTTAAAATTGCTCAGTAGTTATAATAAAATTATTAGCTTTGCTATTAACCACCACTAGTAGCCATGAACATTTTGGTGACTTGAGAAATGAATGAAATGGCTATGAATTTAGTCTGTGCTGTTACTTTTCATGTATGACAGACCATGGGCTTTGTAGCTGCTTATATAAAGAGTAGGCTTAATAGGGGAAATCAACTTTTGGTAGTAATGTGAAGCTAATAAATTAAAACTGGAGGAGGGTGAAGTGCAATAAATGAAAAGACTTTTCCTTGATATTTGAAAGGTGGTGGCCTAGGTCGACTAGAAGGAGAATTGCCAAATGCCTTTTTCTGTGAAGATATACGTCTATATTACACGCATGCGTACACATGCACAGAGTGCATTACTCTTAAGGTAGAGATTGCATAGTGGCTTTGTGGAAATGGAGAGCTGACTTCATTTTTATGAGAAGCAATGTAGAGGCATGAACTACGGTAATGTTGCAGAGAACCTGTTTGTCAGGCTAATATAGTCTAATTAAATATACAGTAATGAACTATATCTGAATGATTGGTGCTGAAGTTAAGAGTGCTAGGCTTTGGTTTTCTGTTGGGTGACACTTCTTGCATTTACTCATCTCTACAACTTGTCTGTTAATAGCTGTAATGAGGAGCATAATAATTGTGAAAGAATTATCTTTTTCAGAAAAAGAGTATTGCAAAATTTGGCTCCTCCTTGCTAGCACCTCTCTTCCTTATTCCAGGACTTGAGTGACAGGGTAAGGCTTTGTTTGGAGAAGGTGGAGGACAATGTTCAGGCTCTGCTTCTTCCCCGCCCCAGGCAGTGGGAAGGCAACTAAGTGTAAAGGAAATACAGAAAGGCAGAAGAACAGTGTGTTGAAGTGGCTGCACAGGAAAGGCCAGGACAAGGCACAAAGTTGCTATTGTGGAGGGCACAAAATTCGTATTGTAGAAACTTCATATTATCAATACCTAGTAGTCCTTCCTGTTAGTTATGAAGGCTTAATGATGGCATATTCATCATCAGCATTGTAAAGTGAAAAACAGTATTCTGATGGGCAATTGAAAGAAGAAGGTGCTTTGGGTTGTATTACTTTGCAGTGATAGAGGGAGTAATTTCTTTTCTTAATCTTCAGTACTGAAAAAAAATTAAGTGGAAAAAGTATAACCACATTCTTTCCAAGGTATGCTGCACTCAGACTGAGCCCCTGCATCACTTTCAGGGATAATCTAGGGTTCCATATCCCTGGTTAGATACACTGTGTAGAAATGCTGGAGATGTTCAGCTTTCAATAACTGTGTCATCACGGTTGTGATGCAGTGTTGGTAGGAATTTAGGGATACTGCAAGTGGGTTAGAAAGTACGTTTGCAGATAAAAGATAATGGACACCAAAAAGCAAAGTGAAGAAAAGGATGAATGTGGAGAGAAGAAAAAGGACCTATAAAGATTTCCGAGACACTGGTGTTTGCAATGCACTTTCAGGCACATGCATGCCTATATTGTATTTGTGTGTGTGTGTGTATGCATGCAATCCACTGGAAATTTCTGAAGTGCAGTTGACATTTGAGATTTCCAAATAAAATGAAGCTTATGAATTATTTCAGACACTTTGAACAGTTACTGTTGCCAACAGTTGTACTAGAAACCTATGAAGGAAGGAATACTTTTCAGGTTTCAGTTGTGGTGTTTTGTTTGTTTGGTTTGGGATTGTTTATTTTGGTTTCTCCCCCCCCCCTTCTGTTTCCATACCTGGGCTGCCAGTGGAAAAGGCATACAAAGTGTACATATACCAGTGGGTGGGAAGACACAGTGGGTTTGGATGTCGATCTGTTGAGTCTGGCAGATGAAAAGATGGGAGAGCAGGAGCCAGGAGTGGAATCCGGAAGCACAGAGGAATCTAGAAGCAAATGTAAATAAAAAGATTATTGGAACAAGGAAAAGATTGCCATGCATGTATGCGTAAGAGATCCTCCTTTAAGCCCAGTCTGCATGCGGTATGGATTTGATAATGCCTTAGAGGTGTATATCTGTAGTCCAACTCAGGTTTTTAGGTTTGAAAATGTCTGATACAGTCTCTGATATCAGACAAAACAATATCAGATGTGTACAGGTTTTCATATTTTCTTTTTTTTTTTTTTTGAAAATTTTTGTGCCATTAAGAGTAACTTGTGAGAACTCTTTATGAAGCCTAAAGCCCTCTCTCCTTTTCTTTTTCTCTAGGATCCCGTCTCCGCCAGGAGGACTTTCCACCACGGATTGTTGAGCATCCTTCAGATGTGATAGTCTCTAAAGGAGAGCCAACAACTCTGAACTGTAAAGCTGAAGGACGGCCAACTCCTACTATTGAGTGGTACAAGGATGGAGAGCGAGTGGAAACGGACAAGGATGATCCACGCTCCCACCGCATGCTGCTGCCCAGCGGATCTTTATTTTTCTTACGTATCGTGCACGGACGCAGGAGTAAACCTGATGAAGGAAGTTATGTTTGCGTAGCAAGGAACTATCTTGGAGAAGCTGTGAGTCGCAATGCATCTCTGGAAGTGGCATGTGAGTAGTTTTATATGATTAGCACTGTGTAAAACTTTATAGTTGCTTTTATGCTGTCCTCTAGCACTTGCACACACTCAACAGTCTGGGAGATAACAAATGTAGATACGTATGGCATTTTGTCATTAGCTATAGCTTTTAGTCAAGGCTTTTTTACGTATGTTTATACAGTAGCGGTGACCACACAGAATAAGTGATTTGTACTGAAGCAAGGTTTTAGCCAGTGTATAATCATGATTGGCACAAACATGGACAAAGGCTAATCTTCCTCTGAAGAATAATCCAATTTTTAAATTATGACTAAAGTTGGTTATACTGAAACTAATGTGGAAAAATACCTATCATTTAATATAAGGTGCACTGTCTGTTTCTCTTTATGTAGTCATCTGCTACCTCAACAGAAGCAGACAGCATCTTGGTGACTCATGTTCTGTACTGCTAGAAACCTCAATATATGCTCCTCTATGATAAACTTGATACAGGCCTCATTCATTATGTGAATGGCAAGTGAAATTGTTGGCCATTTCTCATATCATCCAGAGCAGCCTTACTCTTTATCGATTCTCTTTGTATTAACAGAGACGCCATCATGGCTCTTTCAGAGACCACCTGGCATGCATGATCTGTTTCCAGTAGAGTTAGCAGAGACCTTTATTATATTCACATAGCAAACAAGCTCATCATATATAAAATACAACTGTTGCATATGATTTTTTGCTGCTTAGTTATATGGGTTGAATAAACACTAATCTTTTTATTCAGAATATCAACTAAGGGTAGCTGTGTATCTTCACAGAGGTGTGTTGTAGTAAATTTATGAATGCTGTGCTCTTGCTGGACTTCAGTTTTTACCCCAGAGTTCTTCATGTGGCAGTAGTTTCACTAAAATGTGTTTGACTGAAGTAGGGCTTTAGCACAAACTTGTATCGCTTAGTTGATAAAGAATGGATTTAAGTCCACATTAGAAAGTATGTTGGTTTAAAGGGGGAAAAAAAAATAAAAATCACAGAAGAGAAATCTTTATTCCTGATGTAGTCTGTAGACTATTATAGCTAATGTGATGTGATCTTGAGGCTTCAGTCTTCTCAAATTGCAAAAAATGCCATTTTTTTTTAATATTTAGATGGTGGTATAAGCCAAGTAGAACAGACTTGTTCACTGTCTTTCACCTGTCATAGCCTAGATTCAGAATTGTTTCAAATAAAAAAAGAAAACAGTTTTGGCACACATTCAAGGCACAAGTTAATGTATATCTGCCAATAAAGGCATCACAATATTACTCAGTTTTGGTAGGTATTTAGGAATTGAGAAGACCACCAATTTAAGGAAGGCTGAAACCTGCGTGAGTATGACTCTAGATAAACATACTGGATTATTTCTGTCTTTGTACATGTGTTTTTTAAACCGTCTGAAAAATCCTGTGAGAGAGGCATAAACACTTTGAAATCTTTATTGCAATCCTGTTGAGATTCAGGTATCTCTTGAAGTTCAGAAGATCATTCAAGTTAAACCTTGAGTCATCAAATTAAAGTGACTGATTATTTTGAAATGTAAACGTGTGCTATATTTCATCAGTTTTCACTGATCCCTACTTCACTGACTGCTGAGAGACTCTTGTTATAATATCCCCAGTCTCTGGAGTTACTGTTTTAACCACTGTAGCTGGTGGCAGGTCATGCATGAACTGTATGTGAGATAGTAGAAGACTTAAAAATAATACAACTGTGTTTCATTGTCAGAGGTATTTTAAAGCAGATCATAGAACATGAAACCTGAGATCTGAAACCCTAGCCAAAGTTTCTGCAATAGCAACATGCATCTGACACCAGATTATTTTACTGTTTTCATAGCTTTGAAATTTAACTGACTGAATTCCTGAGTTAAATGTTTTAGCAGTCTAAAGCAGGCACTCCTGTTCCACTTCAACAGTGTTTTGTCTTTCCTTGGGCCATACTGTGGCTGTGATTGCAGGAAGGTCTTAATCAAAGAAAAAAAAGTAAATAACACATACATTGCTTGTTTACTTAATTTTAGAGATTCTGCTGGGTTTATATTCACTGGTTTTAAAAAGCACGTGGCTTGACGTGTATCAAAGGCATCCTTTGGAGGATGATAGCAAAACTACCTGATTTCTCTTGGTTTTGAGACACTTTTTAGTATGATTTTTGGTTCTAAATCAAGTTTTAAAGTGACTTTCAGAGAACAGTTATTTTAAGCCTTTTAACCATTTTTTCTAATGTCAGCATTTCTGGACTGAAGAAGACGGGCAGGTCTGTAGCAGCCCTCTTGCACGCTAGGGAAATGAATCGTTGCTGACAGCCTGTTGTCAACAGTGAGTCCTCATTCACCTGTTCTCAACTGCTGCTGAAAACTGTTGAGTTGCCTGGATACTGCAGCCCTGCCCATGGGAGCCGGGACAGCCGTGTGTGATAGGGTTTTACTTGTGCTATCTGTAATGGTGTTGAAAACTGCTTTTTTCACACTAAGCCAAGCTGTTTTCATCACCAGAAAAAGGACAGTTGTCCTTTGCTGACAACAGGGTTTTGGATTATTATCTGACTGTAGGTGGCCTCAAATTGTGCCATTAGAGACATACTGCTGCTTTTTACAGGTTTAAAATGGTTGAATCTGCTGTTTTAGTGAAAAAATCAGTAATTGTTTTACTTTGCTTATTAAATTGTCAGTCACCAATAATGTGCACTTGCAACTTTTGAATGACTTATGAAGATATATTTATTGGTTTTATGTATCTGTTAAGTGTGTTCATGCTTATGCATTCAGACATTCAGATGAAAAACAGTGTTAACTGGTTCATTCCCTGACCCCCCGCCCCGTTTTTTCCCCTCCATGGGCACCTGCCACAAAAGCAGTGGGATTGATAATCTTCTGATGTGTCCGTATTTATGTGTAAAGACAGAAGAAAAACTCTTAAGTGAAATTCAGTTGGGGCATACAGTGATTCAGAGCATAGTGTGGCCTGTCCTGAATGCAATCATTTTGTCCTTTGGTTTTTTGAGTGATATTTTGTGAGTTGCTGAAGTCCCTAAGCTCTTTTTGATCAAGTAGCAGTTAACACCTTTCCAAAACATGATGAATTTAGGTACCAGCCCATCCAAAGCATTTAAGTGTGCTTTTAAATCCATGCCTATTCAGAGCATGTGCGTACAATCAAGGGCAGATATTTTTGTGCTGATACATGTCCTTAGAAAAATTGCTCTGTGCCAGTGAAACTGTGGAGAACTGTGATTTGGGAAGTTACTTAAACATCATTAAAGTACAGAATGTGCTTTTAGAATTTTTTTTGCCTTTAATTCAGAAAGTCTTTATTCCAGAAGACATTTAGGAAGAAATAGGAGTTTGTATTTGAAGGCACAGTTTAAGATTGATATTACTTATTCTATTTCACTCTTCTTTTAATGCGTTAATGCATGGTGTGCTTTGTGTATGTTACTTTTTTCAGTAGGAGCTTCCTCAGAAGGAAAAAAATAATGCTAGCAGCAAAATTGTTCTTCCCCTGTGTATGTGGCAAATTCTGATGTAGTATTTGTATGTTTTATGGTTAAATCATTAAAAATAGATGTTCTAGTCCTAAAACAATTAGAAGGAATTGTATTCAGAAGAGTAAAACAAATTTCTTTTGATTTTGTGTATTAGAATATTTTTATTGAAACTGAACAAGTGTTGTCATTAATAGAAATATGTCAATGCTCAGATTTTCTTGGGAGGATTTTAGAAGGGGAAGTAGGCTTGAAATAGTTTGATCTTTCATGAAACTGCTTTCATATTTGAAAGCCAGAAGTTTTAAAATAAAAGCACGGTTTTTCACAACGTACGAATTGACACAATTGAACCTATGTGGTGGAGTTTTCCAGTGGGAATATCAGGAGACACATTTGCAATTGTGACTGTAGCTAGGATTTCAGTTACAAGCACTGGGGTGCCACATGTAAGCAAGTGAAAGAGCATGAGGGTCCTCGCACTGACTCAGGCTGCCTCTGATCTAGCCTGAGACAGCGGCAGCCCCCAGAGATAGCAGCTGTAGCCCCAGGTGTTAAATATATGACAGCAGCTTGATCTATCGACCACTGTAACAGGGGGCTTTGGCCTAAATGAAAATTCATGAAAAATTGATGAAGTCCCTAGATTATTTTTTTCCCTTTTCCTTTTCCAGTGCTGTGCCAATGCAGTGAGGGGAGATTAAATGAGGTGTTGAACGCTTTAGTGGCAAGGAGGTTGTGGTTCAAAGGCCAGGGGTCAAGGGAGGGGAAAAAAGACCAATTTTCTACCTTACTTTCCTTTAAAAGAAAACATGCAGCTTTTCAGATTAGCTGGGATTTGCTGCCATATTAATATAAGAATAAAGCTCAGGAATATTCACAAATAAGATTCTTTTCTGCATGGGTTGGCAAAGGGTGGGAGTGTGTGGGTTGTTGCTAATAGAAAACAGTGGAAGACTGAGTCATAATTCAACTGGAGAACCAGAAATAGATTGAATTTTGTAATGGCAGTATAAATTTGGGCTTCCATCTTTCTGAGTCTGTGCTTGAACTGAAGTCATTTGGAGAAAGAAGAGGTCTTGCATTATTTATATGTCACAGATTGCTTGAATAGCAGGCTTTGGAACACTCTCCAAACAAAATGATCCTGTTTATGGTAGATCCAAAACTGAATTATGTTTTTATCTGTAACAAGAGAGGTTATAGTAGTATGCTGAGTTTAGTGTGAAGAGTCACAGGTGTATTCCAAAGCAAGCATAAGCCAGATCTTAAACATGGGAGATAGTAATTTTACCAATAAACCAGATATGTTTTAATAATCAGTGAATAAAGGCTGGGAGGTATGAAATATATGCTATGCAATCATCTGCGTATCATGATGCTAATGACTGTTTGCTGGAGCATGTGCAAAAGGCTGCAATATGTTCATAATAATGGAGTTAATAATTTCATTTGAGGTATTCAGCATAAAGACCACCTGTAAAATAGGATTAAAAAAAGAGC